ACTTCACTCTCCAGGATGTCTGGCTCAAGGTCAGCAACTATATTGTCTGGGTTGTCCGGGATATCCAAATCTTTCTGATATAATTCCTCTGTGTATTCTTGCCACCTCTTCTTGATGTCTTCTGCTTCTGTTAGGTCCCTCCCATTTTTGTCCTTTATTATGTTCATCTTTGCACAAAATGTTCCTCTAATATCTCCAATTTTCCTGAACAGATCTCTGGTTTTTCCTTTTCTGTTATTTTCCTCTATTTCCTTGCATTGTTCATTTAAGAAGGCCCTCTTGTCTCTCCTTGCTAGTCTTTGGAAGTCTGCATTCAATTTTCTGTAGCTTTCCCTATCTCCCTTGCATTTTGTTTCCCTTCTCCTCTCTGCTATTTCTCAGGCCTCGTTGGACAGCTACTTTGCTTTCTTCCATTTCTTTTTCTTTGGGATGGTTTTTGTTGCTGCCTCCTGTACAATGTTACGAGCCTCTATCCAAAGTTCTTCAGGCACTCTGTCCACCAAATCGAGTTCCTTAAATCTGTTCTTTACTTCCACTGTGTATTCATAAGGGATTTGGTTTAAATTATACCTGAGTAGCCTAGTGGTTCCCATTGTAACGGATTAACCGGTTTTCAATGCATTCCTATGGGAAATGGTGTTTCACTTAACGATGTTTCCCATAGCGATGGTTTTTTTGGAACCAATTAACATCATTAAGCGAGGCACCACTGTATTGTAATATATCACTCTGGTTGTAACGGATAGAAAAATAGAAAAAATACAATAAAATATTTTTTTAAAGCCAGTAATTTTCCTGAAGGATTGGTAGGATTCATTCTAACATCACCATACAAAAGCATTCTTGAATTATAATAGTAATTGCGGTCCTGAAGGTCGAGGATGGGGCGCAAGCCTCCATTGTGTTTTGGGATGGTAAAGTAACAGGAGAAGAACCTGAGGTTGTGTTCTGAAAGGTTGATGGGTGCTATAGCATCCTTCAGCAGAAGGGATTTTATCTCTTGCCCCAAAACCTCTGATGGTGAAGTTAGAATGATCCTTGGTGGTGGTGTGAGAGCAAATTCTGTTGCATATCCAGTAAGGACCCAGGAATCTGTGGTGATAGATGCCCATGAAGGAAGGTGGGCTGAGAGACAAGTGGTGCTGGGTAAGAACAGGTGGGATAGGCGGAATAGGAAAGTCAAAGGTTCTGTTTTGTTTTCTAGGCAAGAACAGGTGGGATAGGCGGATCTGAGGAACAGGAAAGTCAAAGGTTCTGTTTTGTTTTCTTCTCAGGACGGCTAAAGGATTGCTTGGGCACTGACGCTATATGTTGTGTCTAGGCTGAAATGAAGAGGAAGACTGCAGTAAGTATTGCTGTTTGTTAGAGAATGGCTTGTATTGTTGGTAAGCATAAGGGCGATGCCATTTATAGCACTGAGTTTTATAATATGGTTGAGTGTTGTAAGACCATGCTGTTTTCCTTAATTTCTGCAGATTATCCAATATTTCATCAGTCTTGTCATCGAAAAGACCTGTGCCATCAAAAGGTAGGTCCTCAATTCTCATACAGGAATCCTCTGAGATATGGGCTGAATGGAGCCAAGCATGTCTCCAAAGAGCAACGGTGGTAGCCATATGTTTAGACACAGCCTCGATGACATGACGTGCAGTAATGTGTTCCTGACACACGAGAGCCATGGCTTCTTGATGGAAAGTGAGGCCATGAGCCTTGGGGATTGAGCAAGAAGTGGAGAAGGTGGTTGGCCAGATGGCAGTGGTATGAAGTCTTCATCGGAAACTTTGGGACAGACAGTTGGTTGATCCTGCAAAGGTATTGTTGGTGTAGATTTATCCGCTGTTACTCGGGCAAGCTTCCTAGCGACTTGAGAATCCAAAGAATATTTATTCAACCTTTTAGGTTTAGAATGATTTGGTATTGAAGGAAGTTTCGGTACAGGTGTGGACTTGGTCGTTCGTCCTGGAACCTTGGATTTGGAAACAGTCTTAGATTTCTCCTTAGATGATATCAACGTTGGCATCGGAGAAGTAGTTGGCACACATCAGGAGACCTGTCTTGGGACTGGGGATTCTGAGCGGTGTCCATAGTGGTCTGTGCTAGGAGAAGAGACCGTTCCCAGAGGAAGGATCCCAGCCGTTGTTGTCAGAGTTTAAGGGCCTGTTTTGTGAAGTTCTTACAAAGTTGGCACAAAACTGGTTGATGGGATTCCCCAAGGCAGAAAAGACAGTGGTTGCGTCTGTTGGAGAGAGGAATCTTGTTTGGGCACGAAAGTGCACCGTTTAAACGGAGCCACGGGTGCCATAAAAGGAAAAGGGAAAGGGGAAAGGGGGGACGGTCAGAAAAGAAACAGCTTGAAAAGTCTCTTACTGTTTCCTCTCTGTTATTTAACTCTTGGAAAGAAGTGAAAGCAGTTGCCGAATGGAGATCCTGTTGTGAGATGAAACCTCAGCAGTGGCAAAAAGAAAGTGAAGCAATCGCCAGGACGGGCAGACCATGGAAGTGAAGCAATCGCCAGGACGGGGCAGACCACGTGTACTAGGGGGGCGGTCCTGGCGAACACGTGATAAAGCCCTAGAATATTCCGGAAACCCCTGCGCAAGCACAGATTAAATCCTATAGTGTGCATTCACAGAGACCATGAAGAAGAACAAAGAATTCATGCTTCACTATCAGATATCCAGTGCCCCAATTCAGGACGTTGATGCTCAAGGTTAACACTCTAAACTGAACCTGAAAACTAATTGCTAAGGAGGGGTGCTGCCTTCAGAGTTCAATGGCATCCTGGACCATCAGCAGATTCTGAACACCATTTCAAAGGCAGTCCCAAAAAATGCAGAAGTTCAAACTTTGGGTTGCCAAGCCATGAAACAAATACAACATTCAACTAGATTCTGACACGGATGTATATGAGAGCCAAAGTGTTTCTCTCAAGTATAGCCAGAAACACAGATTACAGTAAAGCTATCCCATAATTTAAGAAGAAATAAAATCTGATTTTGGAATCTCAGCTGCTGCTATCCTAAGCCAAATAAAAACTAGAATGCGTGTTGTTTCTTAAATGACACATAGAAGCTTGTGCTTCCTTCAGTACAGAACAGCCTGGCTAAACTAGTCTACAAACAGAAAGAGCAAGATAAAATAAAAACTGCAATCTTAACTTCTAAGTGCAGTCAAACTCTGCAGGACTCTTTAATCCTTTGGACAGAGTGTTGGCTCAGTTTTTCCACATCAAGAAACATACCTTCAAGTTTCGTGAGCAGCACTTCTATCACTGCAAGGGCTTCAGTTCTTATGGAGGTATAGCTTCTATTTTCTAAGGGAATAAGAGTTGTATTTCAAGAGGAGTAGAAATTATTTGTACAAAAACGTAGCTTATACCTTTTAGACAACTCATCAAATCTGAGTAATCTTTCCTAGCCTCAAGTTCTAGCAGATACAGATACTTCTCCTGCTTCCTCTTTCAGTTAATAATAAAATGTCTTTGTCAGCTATGAACTTTGGAAGACTTAGTAGTGGAAAAAAGAAATAAGTCTCTCACAATCATTTATATGATTTCTAAGGTGCAGTTCATCCTCCCTTCCCCACCATGGGTTTAAGGAAAGTTTGAGAGCCAATTCTCTAACCTTGAGTGCCTTGCAAAAACTAAAATTAGAAGTTGATAGAAATCCACACCAAGTTTTGAAAAGTCCAAGTATCTGGGAGTTTACAACAGTGCTGCACAGCTTTGTATCTACTAAAAAGGAGAACTGCAATTCTTGGAGACTTCCAAGACCAATAATTCACCTTTTTAAATACTGACAAGCAGGGCTGGGAGCCACAGAAGATGCTGGGGGCCACATGCACGTCAAAGGTCACATGTTGCCCACCCCCTTGGTTAAAAGGGATTTTCATATTTAAAAAAACAGGAACTGTTTCAGAAAAATACTTTCTCTATTCACACCGTCCTGCCATCTCCCTGTAAAACATATAGAGGAGTTCTTACAGCATCTGGGTGCTTAGCATTGCCTGCTATGTCATTAAAGAACTGTGCTAGACCAACAAAATTAAGAGTTGACATAGTGTGTTCTATAGGTGGAATGCCTGAATGAAAAACACTTTAAAGATGCAATATAGAAAAACACAAGTGCAGAGACTTGCACCATGGAACCTGCTACAACAATCTATCAGCTGGTTGTATAAACTGGACCACAATGTTCTTTATTTAAGGAAATAGATAAACTATAGATTCCAGCATTCTCATGGATTACTGAAGTTAGCCATTTTAGCGGACAAGATAAGAATGTATAGTAGCCTCGGGCTGTTACTTTCACTCACCCATTTCCCAAAGAGTCTCAATAAAGATGTTTATGAGAAATTTTACAAGCACAAAGCACTCCCTTTTCTCTCTCTCTTGGTCATGAAAAATTCAGAACGAGTGCCCTATGGTAACATACCAATGGATAGACAGTTACCTAGAGAATGTGTAATAGAGGAACAAGTTTCTGACAGTATTCTTGACAAAATCTCTGGGTCTGAGTATTTTGTTTCCAGCAACAGTAACCTACATAGTAAAAGAAGAGTGGTGTTAATACTCATCAAAAAGGATTGCTACCTACGTCTTCCCTCTGACCAGGACATGCTTACCCACAGAGGTCCTCCGTGCAGCCTCCACAGGTACCAAAGTGCTGCTTCCCACCTGAGTAGCTACTGACTCTTCCCCCACAATGATGCTCCTCCCCATTATAATTGTGCATGAGCATCTCTATTTAAATTGTTCTTCGCAATGCAGCCTCCACAGGTACCAAGGTGCTGCTTCCCACCTGAGTGCCAGCACTCAGCTACTGACTCTTCCCCCACAATGATGCCCCTCCCCATTATAATTGTGCGTGAGCATCTCTATTTAAATTGTTCTTCGCAACATCAGACCCTTTTGTGGGCTTTGATGAAGACTCTTATGACTGGAAAGGCAGCATGAATGCACGCTTTTCCCTACATGACACCTTCCTTCCCCATTATAACGGCGCACCTCACCTCCCCCACCCAACAACTATACGCTCACCACTTGATCCACTGTCCATTGCTACAAGCACTTGTGACCTTTTATTATAAAAGATTGTTCCCCACCCCCTTGATCCTATCAGAACAGTAACTATCCATGCTTCCAGATTAGAGGGACAACAGAAAACTAGAGGAAGTATCTCTAGAGAGGGCAGAAAACATTCCTTTCTTTCCAGTTTGGCACCATTAGTGTGGGAGACTAAAGGCATAGCCCACATTTGTTCAAGAAAGGCAAATGGATGGATACTTCATAGTGTCAGTTCACATAAAGTAAATGCACAATTATGTTCAATTTACAGCCATTCAAGTCAAAATCACACAGAGAGAGCATGTAAGGCTGAGTAACAGGCCCCAGTTGTCTTGTTCTACCAATTTCTCATACTCTTTAGTGAAATGCAGAAAGTAAAGTTCTCTTCACAACTGGGAAGATAGAATAAATAATCCATATATTAAATGTTTATGAACACACTGTAACATATCACTTGATTGTCTTAATTCAGACAAACACCAGGCAAGTGTCACAACTGCACACAAAAGCACAAATGTCACAGGATAAGAATACAGAAGAAGAAGCAGCTCCAATATCTAGTATGAAATTACCCTTGAAAATAAGTCTTCATGGCTTGGAGGACTCCAAGTTGCACTTTCCACGTACTGAGTTTCAGACGTTCACACATTAGTGTACACAATTCTTGCTGGTAACAGCCTGAAAAACAAATATTCAAGATAGCCGATATAAGGATAGACATCAACATTTCTCACAGTTCATCTAATATTGCCATCAAGTTGTTCAGTTGAACTGGTACCCAAAATATTGATCCTAAGACCTGGGTTAGAGAGGATGCCTTCATCCCATTACTATTACTATTACTATTACTATTACTATTATTATTATT